ATGTGCCTTTGTGAAATGGATTGAGAATCAACAAAATGTTTGTTACATGACAGAGTGAAAAATTCCAAAATTGAGTCTAGAGAGTGTTTTCAGTACCGAGAGTGTATTCTTTACACAAATATTTACTAGACGGCTCCCACCTGTTAGTAAACTTTTGACTGAAGTACAACACACACACAGAGGAGAGCACAAACCATCACCGTATGCTTGATCAATTTTCAGGGTGAATACTCCCAGATTAAGGAAAAAAAATGCTTTTGGGTTTTTGAATAGGCTTTTATAGCCTGGGTCAAAACCACTGAATAATGCAAAAACTTAGTGTATAACATGTATTATTTTAAGTTCAGTTAGCCAGAAAATGCTAAAAATTTAATAAAATACAAGGCCTAAAAAGGAGCCATTTTACTTCAAAGAGTATAATTATCTTGGAATTTTATTTTCCGACTTGGAAAGTTCAAAGTTTTGTTCTCTTCTCAACTCTGCTGGGCATGTGCTTATTTCTTTCACCCTTTAAACAGCCAGGACTTTCTCAGTTGTACCCTCCTAATATCCTTTCCAAAAACAGACGATGGCCATCTTTGTCCCATTCACCCACTGCCTTTCTGCTCATCGTCCCTTCCAGTTACTTTGAAATTGGACAATCTGGCTCAGCACCTGTGGCTCAAGTGGCTAAGGCACCAGCCACATACACCTGAAGTGGCAGGTTCGAATCCAGCCCAGACCCGCCAAACAACGATGACAACTACAACCAAAAAATAGCCAGGTGTTGTGGTGGGCGCCTGTGGTCCCAGCTACTTGGGAGGCCAAGGCAGGAGACTCGCTTGAGCCTAGGAGTTGGAGGTTGCTGTGAGCTGTGATGCCACAGCACTCTACCCAGGGGTACAGCTTAAGGCTCTGTCTCAAAAAAAAAAAAAAAAGAAAAAAAGAAATTGGACAATCTAATTTCCTTCAGCCCTCCTGATTTTGGGAAGATCCACAGAAGAAGGGAGGTTTTTTTCTCAAGGGCAGGCTAACTGTGGGCCATGGCACAGCCTCTGTTTATACAGTAAGTGTGGTTCAGCCCCCACCTTTAATTGCCTAATAAAACCATGCTGAGAGCAAGGCATCCCCATACTTCCAGGCTCATCTGGCTCTCGGGGCACCAACTCCTCTCTGAGTTATGAGTCAGGAGCAAGACCCTGGAGATGCAGAATGTGCCAGAACACATTTTCTCCCACTCAGCTGACAGCCTTTGGATAGGAAACCCAACGCGAGGCAGACCTGTGTGTCTCCTACTTAATAACAACAAAGAGGCAGATGGCCCAGCCACAGAGGGCAATGTAAACATCTATAGGTTAGATGCCAACAGAGTGATTATAAAATTAAGGACGAGTATCCAGGCATGGTTTTCCAAGTGCCTATTATTTTTCACCAGAAATCGCAGGAAGGTTGGGCTTTCAAACATTTCATTAATATAATGGAACAGGTTCTGCCAAGTGCGTGTGAGTTAGTGGAGGGCTTGGCCTCCTTGTCACCCTCCAGGCGCCAAGTCTTCCCTCTTGAGAAGGTCCGAGGGAGGGTGAATGATGCCTCTTGTGTTAAGGTATCCATCACTCATAGGGTTGCCCTTCGTGGCAACAGTCTCACATCTCCCAGGAGGTGAGTTAGCTCTGGAAATGGTACTCGTGGTGTGAGATGTTTTTTCCCTCCATGCAAGTTCAAACCAAAAAGAAAAACGGCAGTAATTTATCAGTACTATTGTTGCTCATGTAGGTTGCAGATGATGAAAGAGAAATTGTGGAGCCTCTGTAAATGACAATGTTCTGCCCAGACGGCTTCTCTGTTAATAAAGAGAACAACAAAATCTCTGCCAATGGAACATCAGCAATGATTCTGAGCTTCCACTACCATGAAAGACGAGGACATTCTAAAGAAAACGAGGATGAGAACAGTCTTCTCCACTTCGTGTTTGAAAACCCTTTGTTTAATATAAAACGCGTGGCTCATCTGGGAAACGTGCCTGAGTTGAAGGCCCCTTCTGCTGTCACCTTTCCTTGTTACAAAATCTTCTGTCTCCTGGAGTCTACGGCAGAGCAGAATTCTCAAACTTTTTCGTCTCTGTGTCCCATTATGCTCTTATTATCCAGTGGAGCTTTTGTTTATGTGGATTATATATCAGTAATGACTGTTAGAAGTTAAAGCTGGGAACATTTAAACACATGTACTTTTAATTCATTTTAAAATACGGCAAGAAAGCCGTGACACATTAACATATAAAAAGTAAGTATATTTTCCAAAACAAGAAGTGGGTCTGAAGAATGCCATTATTTTACATTTTTCCAAATCTTTTGTGTCTGTCTTAATAGAAGACAAGTGGACTTTCATGTCTGATTCTTGCATTCAATCAGTTGTGTTATTATTATTATTTTTTGCAGTTTTTGGCTGGGGGCTGGGTTTGAACCTGCCACCTCTGGCATACTGTTTTTTTTTTTTTTTTTTTAGTTGATGTACATGAAGACAATCCTGCCACACACAGATAGGTAGCCAGAAAAGGAAGGAGTATTTTAATAGCCTTTTGGGATGATTTTGGACATTCTTCCAAAAGAATGTTAGAAACTCCAACTAGTGGGAATTTCTCCAAGGTTAGGTAGAATACAGAGGCTGGAACCATATCAGTGATTTTTTTTTTGGTACTCTATTAAATTCAAATACATTGGCATATTTTGCACTTGGAATGGATCTTTTATCCAAGTATGCTTTTATAATATCATGCATCGGTCACTTGGAAACTATTGGCTCACGGAGTTTGGTAGCTTAGAGTTGTTGAAACATTTCATATTAGAATGATATCAAGAAATCACATCAATTAAGATCAGTACCCATATGATCAGAAAAGTTTTTAAGTACTGGGAAGCTGTCAGATTTACGGGGTTGATTACAAGCTGTTCAGAATTCTATTTTGTGTCTGAAACACTCAATTTATTGGCAATAAAGACTGCCCAATGTTTTTCTTGAAATGACTGGCTCATTTAGTTCATTTTTGAGAAAAAGCTATGAAACATACCCAGCTTTGAATAACCACAGTCAGACATTCTGTTAAGGCATTCCATTCAAAAAGCAACTAGTTTAACTCTTAACTCAAACAATGGCATCACGTTCTTCCCTGGAGGCAAACTGGCTACTTGGCTATGGAACCGAAAACAGAAGAGCTTTCTGTATACTTCCCATTTTGTCATAAAGAGTATTAAACAGGCATGTACCCAAAGATGAAAATCCAACGAACTCAGAACTTTTTCCTGGTTCATCGAGGACATTCTTAAATGAAACTGGCAATGCTTTCTTAACAGCAAGTGCGCGGCAGTGAAGAATGCCATGGCTGCTAGTACAAGCTGGTGTCACCCTCCTGATCCTTCATCAGGTGCCAGCAGTTTTACCAACCAATGATTTGTATCATCAATGCACATGGTCAAATAATGACTTGTCTTATTATGCAACTGGGTTTTATCTCTTGGAGCCCCCGAGAGGGCCTTGGTATCCCTGGTACCCCTGGATGGCTCACTGAATTCGGCTCCTGTGGAGGACAGTAACTATAAATCCAAATAACTTCTAATCTGCTCAGGGCTTATGTCCTTGCAGAGTTCATGTAAAGAAGATTTAAAGGTTTATTTCTGTCTCCACTCTCCTGCCCTCCTTGCTTAAAAAAAAAATTTCATTGCAGTAAAATTCAACATAAATTGTGGACGGAACAGAGAATCTCAATGCTCTTGATTTCATCAGCACTTTTCTCCCTAACAAAGAAAGCAACTCTCACACTTTTAACACGCTATTGACGAAATATCACACTGTCATGACTATAGGAAATATGACCTGCCCAGTTCCCCCTCCATCCTTCCTAACTCCAGCCCTCCCAAACTTTTTACTTTGGGTGGGTGGGGGGTGACAAACCTTGGATCAGCTCTTACTAATGTCCTCAGAAATAATTGCTTGTCCTAATTCAGCCACATGCAAATTAATGCTCCCCTAAAGAGGCCTTATTATAATTTCCAACCCTTGATGTCTACACAATCCCCTATAGTTCTCTAACTTCTCGGTTTCTAACTTCTGTTTACCGATGCACTACTTTTGTCAGCTCAGTATAGCATCAATTAGTAACACAGTTGTGTTTATTAGGTCTCCCTAGAGGCTTGGGAAAGCTGCTTTGTATGTATTAATGACTACACAGAGCACTACTATTTTTCAATAGCATTTAAAAATGAGTAAATTACTGAAGATGAACTATAAAAGAATTTCCTATTTCAAAGACAAGCAAGAAAGAAGCACATTATTTCAAACCACCCATAATACTCGCATGGCTAATTTTATTTTCAATTTAATATCAAGGGAGGGGAGTTAAATCCAAGCCCTTCTTCTGTTCTACTTTCGGCATCTGGAGTGCACACAATTTGAGTGAGGGAACTAAGGCAGAGATCTGGTGATTAATGATGAGCCGGTCTAACAGGTCTCAATTTCATTATCACACACATACCTGTTAAGTAATGCACACCTGATTCAGCACAAATCCACCCACGAGATTAGCTTTTTTTAAAAATTCAAAAAACAAGCAACCGAGAGCAAGAACGACAACAAAAATAATAAAAGGCGTTCAGTCCCCCAATTGAGGTCCGGGTTCGATGCTCTCCAGCGTAATTCCAAACAACCAGCTGGAAAGGGATCCAATTTGTACACGCTCATTTCGTGAATAATTCCCTGTACTGAGTTAGGTCAAGTGAGAGCTGCCCACACTGGTACAGAATTCGCTACTCAAGGAAACCAGAGAGACCGATGTCGCCTGTGGTGAATCTTCCCTAACCAAACTTAAAGTGAGGGGGAGCAATTACAACGCTCCTTGGCCCTGCGTTTATATTCCTGGTCATTTAGGAAACAGAAGACGCTGATCTGCAGAAATCACTATGCATTCAGGAAAGGAGCTCGGGGAGCGCCCCACCCCCACCCCAGGATCTGGCTACGAGGCAGAAACATACCTCCGTGCACTTCCTTTGTCTTGTGCTCCCTCTTTGATGTGCAAGTCACTGGTGGAGTAAGCTGTGATCGCTTTGATGTTGAACTTCTAGACTTTATTGTTACTAGCATGCCTACAAGGAGAACTGTCAGTCATTCCTCACATCTGAACAACCACGGCTCTTTACAGCACCTCTTTTACAAGCATCAATCCTTAAATACATGTTTTCACGTTCCTGCTGATTACCACACTATCTTTGTGGGGGGAGGGCTGTGCTCCAATATAACTGCAGCACCCACATTTTCTGTAAACACCCCCGAGGCATCATCAGAGGGCTGGTAACCAACCTTCTTCCAGAAGAGAAGCCTGGGTACAAAACATATTTCTAGCAAACGAAAACATTCTGAAAATGTTCAATCCATTGGAACAGTCCAAGGGAGTCCTTTAGCCAATATTTTCCCTAACCAGCCACTGAAATTACACAGAAACTTCCAAGCCACTTCAAAAAGGATTCTGAAGGCGACAGCAGCAGGGGGGCTTAGAAAGTCTGCCAAAAACTCTGAGACATCTTAACTCATCTTAAACAACTTTGTTTCTCTGCAACAGTGGAAACAAAACACTTCTGTGCTACGAGATTTTGCTTGTGGTAGAAACATTTTGAAATAGATTTGTATCAAACCTATTGTGTTGTTAAACAATATCACTTTCACAAGTTGCTCGCTATATTAACAAAGGTGACTTAAGTTAGAGGGAGATGATTTTTCATAATCTTATGTAGATGTGAGTGCGATGTCTGTGCGATTTCTTAAATATATTCAGGCGTAAGAGGCAACATACAAATCTTTGAAGACCTCTGCTGAAAAAGAGAGGGCTCTCATTTCATTTACCAGCTCCCATCAGATTTTCTTTTCAAACTCCTTTATCACTTCTGAAACTGCTGAATATTCTCACTCCCCACTGGGAAATTCCACACGAGAAGGAAATGAAGTTCAGGTGCTTGCATCACGCCATGCTGGTTTATAATGAACAGTTATCTTTCTGGATAAATGTTTCATTGAAACTCAAGATCTTAGCGACACTGGGTCTCAAGAAAGGAAGTAAAATGATATTTTTCATGCTAGTGTTTAGTTCTGCCTTTGTTTTTCATAAGCTGACAACAACGGAGATACTCTGCTTCTGCTTGCTAATAATCTGCGAACAACACATTGGGAGTGACTCAATTGCTTTGGGTTTCTGGCATGGAATATTTGGTAAGGAAAGAAATCACTGTGGTGTGGAATGGTCAAGGCTATTCCAGGGTTTCCATTTTTAAACAACCATCTCCTCCCCCTGTGTTTTAAATCAACCATCAAAAATGGAAAAAGCTTTGGGCTAGAATTTGATAAATAAGGTCTGACTGTAATTTACCAGAACTAAGTCTGGACATATTTATGATGAATATTAATGAAGGCTTGCTTGTTTTTAAATGTACTCAAACAGTTGACATGAAGTAATTACTTCTTTCTGCCTTAAATTTTGGCTTCCAAAGGAACTGAGTAGCTGACTGAAGCACCTATGTCAATTAAGGGTAGAGACTGGGACTAAGGAAAGGAGGTGGTATGGGTTGCCTCTTCTAAGTCCCCCCAAAAGAAACCAGACCATTTTTCTATGTTAACAGAAACTTTTCCATAGATGGGTAGGGCCAGCAAACATTCTGATGATGGCTATCATGTCCAAGCCTCTAATTTTACAAATGGGGAAAGTGAGCAATTGAGGTAACTTGATAATTATTGCATCATAGATCTGAGATGAGAACCCACATCGTCCTCCTCCCCCACCCTATATAAAAGGGTTTCCACTACTCAACACTGTTTCGCTATAATGGGGGCCAGGTGACTCACACATAAAGTAAGGGGGTTGGACTTCAGAGGCTTCTCAACTAGAATTATCTGAATAGCTTTCAAAATTTACAAATACTTGGCTCTACCTTGGGCCAATAAAACCAGCATCTCTAAGAGCCGAGCCTGGGCTTATGTATTTTTTAAAAGCTCTCTAGAGAGACTAATGCAGACAAGGCTAGGAACAGATGATCTCCAAGATTTCTCTTGGGTTCTATTGTGGAATGTTCTCCATCAGCTGGAAAAGTCTCTTTGATCCACGAGGCCACAAGCATTTCTAAGTCACCGCACCATTTTTACATTGGCCCTAGCTATTGTCACTATCTGAGTTCGTCTAGTTCACTTAGGTGTTTACTTAGGTGTTGCCTTCCTCTCTCCACAAGAATGTATACTTGCAGACACCAGTCTGATCACGGCTGTCCCCACGGTCCCCATCATCCGCCTGCCACAATAATATAAATACTGCACCAGCATTTTCCAGAAGAGGGAGTTGGTGCTGCAGTGCAGAAGGGGGCAGGTTGCTCTCCTCCACACCAGACAGAGCCACCAAACTAGAACCTAAGCTGTTTGAAGGCAGTATTTGATACTGTCTGAACTTCTCCAGAGCCTGGCCCCTGGCAGATATACACACACTAGGCGCTCATGTCTGAGAAAGGCCCTCTGGTAAACAGGAAGCATTGGGGAGTTTATGAGGTACTGAAACCTTTACTTTGTCCCTGTAAAAAGCAACGTAGAATATACATCACTGTTTCCACTGGAGTTGGGCTTCACTCCTACAGTAGAATCTCCAGCCTGTTCTCACCGAGTGGTCACAATATTGGCAAGACCCAGCGCCAGCATACACTGAACACTGGGGCTGTATTGTGTCAATGTCACAGGTGGAGGCCAGAGCCCCTGGACAAGGCTTTGTGCTGAGAAGGAGTACGGTGTTTAGAAAGTATCACAGGTATCTCCAGCACCAAAATAACCCCAGGGCCCTCCGCTGTTTGGGGTAAGAGATTTGGAGTGAAAGTCTGCCTACTTCTTCCTACATGCTGGAAGGAAGCGTGATAGCAAGGCCAAAGTAACCAGAAAAATAATTCGAGCATTTTAATAATAATGCATGTATATCAGTAATGGCAGAAATCGCTCATATTGGACAACTCTTTCACTTTGAAAGCAGATTTCAATGGACTAAAGGGAAATGTATGGTCACCCTAATATAATTACCTTTCTAAGCTTCACTTACCTCATTACAAAGAGGAAAGGATTAGACCAAACCCACCCGAGTCTCACTAGCAAGACAGGAGTTTGTTTTACAGGCATGTACCACTACATCCAGGTCATTTTTCTTAGTTTTTGTTGAGACAGGGTCTTGCTATGTTACCCAGGCTGGTCTTGAACACTTGGGCTTAAGTGATCCACCTAGCTTGGCCTCCCCAAATGCTAGGATGACAGGTGTGAGCCAGCCAATTTGGCCAATATTTTTAAAATACAATAGAAGCTCTGTGAGTTGACCACCCAAGGGACTAGAACAAACTGCTCAATATAAGGAGATGGTCAACATAAGGAACTAGGCCTACTGTACTGACATGTACATGTGGTGTGTGTCTGGTCTATGAAAATTAGGTCAACTTAAGGAGGTAGTCAATGCAGGGAGGTGGTCAAGTGTGGAGGTTCTACCGTATATGCCTTCCTGGGCCTCACTGATAGAATCAGAGTCTCTCTGGGTAGGACCCAGGAATCTGCCTTCTTAACAGACTCCTTGGGTTATGGGTGTACACTGCACTTTCAGAACCACTGTTTTAGACAGGGTTTAGAGCTAACTTGTGGTTTATTTGGACGCAAACCATATTCACACATAAGTATAGGGGTTGATGGTAACTAATTACATTAACATTTCTCTGGATTATTTGCATGTCACAAAATCTCTTTTGTCACCATAGCTCACAGTACTGCAAACCTATAAGCCTCGTAGTTGTAAAGCAGACTTCTCCGGTTAAGGGTGGCTGCCCATTGCTCAATGCATTTTTTAAACACTGATTCATAGCTTAAGATACTTGATTGTGAGGAAGGTGTCTCAGCCCTATTAATAAGGCACACAGGTGGCACCTGAATGACCATGCACACAATAGGTATTTAAGTATTTGCTGAAACAAATTTGTTTACTTATTTTTACCCAGCATTCTACAGAAGATTCGAAGTGAGATAAACAAATAAGAAGAAAAAAAAAAAAACTCCCCACAACTGAAAAATGAAAATAACATTCTGCGAAAAAGAGAATACTTCTCATGTGGTGTAAAAATCACACTTCTGGGTAACACAACACAGGTTGAAAAAATGGTTGGCTTCAATAACTGATCTGAAGGTCACCCAAAAGTCTTCATTTCTGAACCACTACCATATTTCAATAATAGAAAGGTTCAAATGGCAGGTTTTTCTGGATTTTTATTTTTCTTGTTTTTCACTAGACAATGCAATTTCATCTTTCTAGTAGGAACTAGTGAGCACTGGCATCCTTTAAAATCCTAGTGATTATCTATTATTATTATTATCCTAATTATTACAGCTCAAATTTGAAGCATTGACTACTTGTGTGGTGCAAAATTCACATAAACATGCATTCTTATACCTCTGTAGCATCAGGGACAAATATTTAAGCAAGTAGGAAGATATATATTTAATCCTCTGGTTGCAACAGAAATCAGACTGTTTTATGATGGACATAGCACCAAAATCTGAACCCAAATTTGCTTGTAGTATCTATTTATCCTAAAAATTGTACAAACAAATGCTTATCTCTTCCACACACCATTTTAAAGCATAAACTCTTTTATGTTCTAAAAAACCTATGTAACTCTATTTTATTTCTTAGGCAAACTGTATCTATTTCATTAAACTAAACAATATAACCATAAATTTTGGAAACCAAGGAGTTAATCGTTTTTGTACCCATGTTTACAACTGTTTTATTACCAAAAGAGTAGTTTACTTCTTTCTAAATTATTTACTATTACTAAAAAAGAAAAGCTTTATATTTAAAAAGGGAAAATGCTGGATTTAGCTGATGAAATGACAACTTCTTTTTAAAAAATACTCAAGGGTTAGAGGAATAGAATTGAGGTTAAAACTTGAAAAAAAAAAAAAAAAAAAAAAATAACAAAAAGGCAAAAATAATTGTTTACTCACAAGTCAGAGCTCACTTAAATTTAATATAGAGTCAAAGAGAATTTTGACTTTATCTTAAGTTTGCAAAAACACTTCTCTTCCTTCCAAGCAAACTTTTAAAATTCATTATCCCCCCCAGTTAAATTTCTGATAACCATGTAAAACGACGAATTACGCTTTTCAATCTAATGTAGAATGCCCATTGCAATTGAGAAAATAATTTCAACCTTTGACCTTCCCCATTAGCCTGATGGGAAATTCCTTGGCACCATCATGGCTATAGCCGTCCATGAGTAAGTGACCACTAGAGGGCAGCCTTATCTCAGATCTGACCCACTACTCCGCCGAAAAATATCTCAAATGCCTGCAATGTTCCTTTAATTACTTCTGAACATTTTTTGATTTTCCTGGATATTTAACAATCAATTTCAATGGAACTAAAAGTGTTCCTAAACAGCTCAAAAGTCCACTTCCACAAAGTACAAGGATATCACAAAGACTGGTAGTGAGAGGCACTAAAAACACAGCTTAGCTGATGTATCTCAAAAAGTTTAAAACAAAGGCTCTTCATCTTTAAGTCATCTTTTCCTCTTTACTAGGTGGTGGATCAGTCACACCATAACTAGAGTCAATGCCAAGTCGCTCACAACAGAACTAGAACTTGGTGTTCATTTTTGGCATCAAAATGCCTAGTGGTTCTAGGCAAACTGAAGTGTCTTTGAAAAGAAACTGACCAAGATTGTGGGAAGGTGAAAGCTGGACTTTGAACAAAATAGACTGGAGAGGGACAGCAGAGATGACAGATTAGAGGGGTGTGTGTGTGTTATATGCTACTAGTCTTCAAAGAACTGACAAGTCTTTCATTTAAATGATGGATTAAATGTGTTCTGCACAGCCCCAAAAGAAAGGATCAGAATTAAGGGATTAAAAGTACAAAGAGGAGACTTATGTTTTATTTAAGAAGATTTTTTCTAATTCAAGATAAAATAAGCTACCTTTAAAGATCGTGAGCTCTCCGTCATTGGAGGTGTTCAAGCCTGACCAGATAACCACTTGGCAGGAATACTGTGGAAAGGACCCAAATGCCCAGTGGGACGTTCATCTAACTGACTTGTAAGGTTTCTTCAACCCCTGAGACTCTAGAAAATAATGCTCATCTGTTTTCAGACAGACACACCTCCATCCAGCAGTCATAAAGGTTAAGTCCTCACCAAATGAGAAATGAGCTTTTGAAGATCTACTTGGAAACTTTTAGCTTATGAGATTTTCTAAAAGACAACAGGTTTCTTGAGAAGTGTATCCACACTCATTCTCCCTTAGCTGTCATGGAAACAAACAGGACAGCACTCACCAGCATGAGATTCACGAGCTTCCTGCTACATAAAGACATATTAAAATTAGAAGATGCATTTGTGAATGCTCCTTTTGCCTAAGGATAAATGGAAGACGTAGATAAATCTCTCAGTTCTACCACAAGGGTGATCAGTTACACAGGTTAACTCCACTTCATAGCTTTCTGTATTCTTTAGGAAAATAATGCTTACATTTCACCCAGATCCTCTTATAACAAGTGGACTTAATGAAAATCATGGATGAAGAGAGCTAATGATGAGCAAATAAGAATAACTCCATTTGTACCAAATTGATTTTATTAAATACTAATTTAAAGATATTAGGCTCAGCAAAGCATTACATAATTGGATCTATTTTTTTTCTCTTATAAATGCCAGACTTCGGATTTCCACTAACTAGAGACAAAGTTATATCCGGGACATTTTCACAGCTTCCTCCAGGGGAAAAATGAATATAGAAATTAGAGTTTCCGTCCTTGTAGCAGTTGGAAGAGCTTGGCTACAACCTGGCACTTGCGTGAGCCTCAGTTTCTTCAACGAAAAAACATGACACTATCAGTGACTTTCTAAGGAAGATAAAAGACTGTTGGAAAACCCAAAAGCACAAAAGAAACACAGAGTACAGATTATCGTCATTTCCCCATTTATTTATGAAATGCCTAGTAAACTTCACAGAAGCAAAAAAAAAAAAAAAAAAAAAAAAAAAAGAAATCAACTAGCAAACCTAAGCAATACAATTGACAGAACTTTATTTATACCCCAAGAGCCAGGACTTTAAAGTTCTATTATTCCCTTAAAGTACATACATATTATGAGACCTAAGAAGTTTCACTTACAAAAGAAAATACAGAAACAAAAGATTCAGCCACTTTCTTACATTTTGCCGATTGGCTAACATATCTGATTATCAGACGACTTAGGCCTCTTATCTCTGGCCACAGCGCTCTGACAATTTACCAAAAAAGCACGTTCTATCATGCCACACACAATACCGACAGATGGAAAAAGCTCTGACTGTGAATCTCTCAGCCCATGAGTCAAAAGGCTGGGGTGGGAGGGAGATATCCTTAGTGGAATAGATAGATGAGGGACAGGGAATCATTTCTCAGAGGGTCAGGATAGGGTCTTTCAGATGCTGTCAAGTGACACATGACTTGCCCTTGGTAGATCTCACAAAAAAATTTATTTTAAGTAGAGAACCATAAAAATGGTTTAGCTGCTCTGAAGGTCTAATTGTGATGTTTTAAATTGCTAAATATGAAATATAGAAAGACAACCTGAATTTTTACTAACAAACAGTACAAAGGTTTAAAATGTCTGCAGAAAATATTTATAGGACAAAGCATTTCTAGAAGATTTGGTCCATACAAGGGGTTTTATTGATCCCTAAAATAAGACCATTTTAAGAAAATGGAACTCCATGTCCACTCTGGAAATCTGTCTATCCATCCACCTAGTAACTTTTTATCCCAGCAAATGGCCATTTGTAAATTTTCTTAGGCAGCTTATAGCAAATTACAAAGTGGCTGGGTGCATTTGTAGGTGTTTTGCAATTATCTACGTGCTGATCCCAACCATTTTTATGATTCACTTGGCTGGGAGTGAAAGATGGGCAAAAAAAAAGGAGTCTAGGGTGAACTATTAATGTATTTATAAGCATATCTACTAGGTAGTAAGGAACTAAGATTGAAGTCGAATGCTATATATTTTAAAAGCACTGCTTCTATTTAGAAATATTATTTCATAATTGGGTAGCATTAAAGAAATTCTATGGCTCTCAATTCAAACTGAGGGCAAAGTGGTTTACCTGAGCATAATGGTGCTCTGCATTTCAA